CATAAATTTTTGTGATTTTGAATGATGCCTTTCTTATATTTGATGATTGACGAGTATGTTGATAGTTTGAAATAATGGGCATCAAAATATTTAGCAGTGAACTTCTGATAAGGTGCAGAAACAGTTTGGGGTAAAAGCCTTGCTTTGGAAAAGAAACTACAAAAAACTCTTAATGTGATATCCAAATTGTTAAACTAATTTTATCTACAAATCAGTGTTTAATATTTTAGAGTGGTCCCTTCCTTCTGCAAAAGGACTGAGAGGTGATCTGATAATCTGAAGTGGTTTAAAATGGTGTTTGGGCAAGATGCCAATTCAGATGGTAAAAGTAATACCACAGTTGAAATAGCTGTTACCTTTCATATACCGACATTGCCCCTTATCTATCATATGATTTGAGTCACCCAAAAAAGCACACATAATTTTTTTCCCCCAGAGCTGGAAGTGAGTTTGCATTCTTTTCATAGTTTCAAAGATATTAAGGCTGGACAGTGGGTCATGAACATCCTTAACAATTCAGGCCATAGATTTGTGGCCCCATATCATTACTAAGCCCCGTAACTCATAATAGAAAAAGAACCTTCCTTTGTCCATTTACTCAGTGATATCTTACTCCAACCTTCCTGATAAGAGAACCTTCATGTCATTTCCAGTTTTCATTCTTCTTTGTTCAGCTTCCAGTCATATGATCTTGTTATGCCTTTCTCTCTGAAGAACCGACTGGTATCAGAGGTTATTATTCTTGTTACAGACCTCTAAATCTGCCTTTTAATAAGCTGTTTAGTGTGAACTTCCACTGAAGATGGATGACATAACCTGTGTTTTCCAGACCTTGAGTTACTAGTGAGTTTTTAACCTTCTCTGAGGTCATCTGTCTGAAATGAGTAAGACAGTCAAGTTGCACTCAGCCTTCCAGCAAAAAACATAAAGGTGGATTCAGAAGAGGTGTCATTGCTATTCTTTTTAACCCAAATAATGTGTCACCTGCACACCCTGCCTCAGAAATAAGGTGTATATCCATTTATGATGAAATATCCACGTACATCATTTGATGAAAGAAATGAACAACACTGGGGCAACAACCAGTTCCTGCAGGATCAGACTGATTAGAACCCAATTTTTTAGTAAGTCTGACAGTTAATTCATTAATATGATTATGGCAGTATGTGAACTTAAGAGCCCTACAAGCCTTTAATTACCTATGTCAGCTTTTCTATTCTCTCTGGCTTGCCTCCAGCTCACTGGAACTTGCCCAGTTTTTCAGGATTTATTAAAAATAAATATCAACAGCCCAGAGATACATTTTTTTTTTTTCAGGCCACGAATTTGCTTGCACATTTCAGTTGCTAAATTCAAGCATCTGAGATGAAGAACTCTCTGCTGAGAGAGTATGAAAAATGTATGGTTATGAGAATGGTTTGGTTACCCATTTTAACATTCTGATGTGTTTTAAAAGCCATTTGGATATACATAAGGGCAAAGGCAAGAGCTGCTCCGCAGGGAGTGGAAGTTCACACTGTTGGTGCCACTCCGGAGGCCAGAGTCTGCGAGGCATCTGCACCACAAACTTCCTTGTAATCCTGTAACTAACACCAACATAGATAATATGAACTATTATTATAGGAAATAATAATATAAGTAATATATAAATAATAAATATAACTGTCTGTGCTGCTGTAATAATAAGGAAATATGATGTTTAGAAAGTCAGAGGATACTCAGAAGGAGAGAAGGGGCTAAAAGAGAAGCAGATAATTTTCATTAATGAAACAGCGGTCTGTGTCTTAGGTGTTAGAATAACATCTAACTTAGAAAGAAGCAAAAGAGCAGAAGTATTTATCCCAAATCAGAAGGAACTGGATTTCCAGTCCCCAGCACTTCAGCTGGCCCTTCAGACACCTGCATCCCCTAGAGATCTGCAGTAGGGCACACAGAGAAGTCTCCCCATCAGTAAGGAACAAAACCACCTTCAATGCAGCTTTGTTTTCTTTAAAGCCTTGCATATCCCAATTCCTACACAGCAAAACATTTTATACTGATTAATATAAAAACAGAAAGCAGTGAACTATAGTAGTATGCTGAAACACAAGGTTGGCTATATGCTGACCCTTAGGAAGGATCCTTGAGTCAGGCTTAATCATAGAACAGCAACGCTAAGCAGAGAAATGTGACTCACAAGCCAGTGAGCAAGGGGGTGTTGAAATTGTATATGCTTTTGGGATAACTAGGAAAGAGAATGTTTAGAAAGCCTGAGCCTCAGACACTTAAAGAGTTATCTGGGAAATGTGTGCACACACACAAAGTCTGTATTGTGTTGTTAAAGCTAAATAAAAAACATTACAAAATCTGTAGACCCAGGTTGTTGTCTTCAAGGAACAAATGGAAAGCATCACAGTCCTCAACCAAAGTAACTGTGGTAGCAGGGTGGAAGTGACGGAAATTCTCCTTACTTCACTAAACCTGAAACCTCCACACCTTTCAGGAAAGCCACATAGCAGCAAAACTATAGTTCCCTAATGCAGCAGAAGTGATTCTAGGGGTCTTGCATCACATGGCATCAAATTCTATTCACTGAAGTTTATAGTGAGCCCCCAATGTTGCCAATGACATAACTTCCTCATGGAGGAACATGTGCTGAAGCTTGTAAGTCCTCAAGAAATGGAAAGTGACTTTTTACCTTTTGTTTTCTTGCTGTGGTTCATCACCCTTGCTAGTGAGAAATGTTCCTTACTTCTGGTCTGTGTGGATGCTGTTTCCAGGCATTTGTTCCCAACATGCAGTTTTCTACAATGTGGCAGTACACAAGTGCCCCTGCTTTGCACCCCATCTATGAATCTCGTCTATGAATCACCCTATCTAGGAATCTCAAAATGAGAGCTATGTGCTTGACCTCTGCTCCTCAAGGAATACTTGGCCAGTGCAAAAAAGGGGGATCCTAGCATTTTACTCACTGTGTGGAAACCGAAACTAGCAAGACTTGAGCCCTGAGAGGGGAATTGCAATGATTACTCCTTGATAATGCATCTATTTGGCTGATTGACTTCTGCTGCGTTTGCATTTCCTACAAGAAGTGACCAGGACAGTGATTGATCTTGCCAGAAGAAATTGCTATTTAAAATGTATAAATACATATTTTCCTATATTTGAGCTCTTTCACTTTTCAAAGACCATTGGGGGGCATATCAGTAATTTGCTGAGATAAAAATGATGGAGAAAAAACTTGTTAACATGTGAAACACCTCCCACCTCAGCTGGTTTACAACATGTCGGTGTGGATCCTGGGTGGTACCCAACCCTCAGGCTCTGATACACAGCAGCCTGTGGCACACAGATGTAGCGCAGGCTGAAGAGCTCTGTCGTGCCTTGCTTTTTCCTCTGAAGAGAAAGAATAATCAAAACAAGTCTCAATTTTTTTTTCTAAATTAAAAAATTAGAATTACATGGTTTGATAAATTAAATCTTTCTTTAAAATCTTATCCTTCTTTATCAGGAGAACTCCCTTTATTCAAATTTTTCAGTTATTTTTCTAGAATTGTTAATAACACCTTCTATGTGCACTATTTCTATTTTCCAGCTTTTTTTTTTTTTTTTTAACAATCACTGTTTCAGTCTTCTGAAATTGCCATACTATTGCAAATCTTCTTGAACCAGAACATCTGTATGTTAGGGTTAATGGTTTTTTTTTGGACTCTTGTCCAGACTAAAAGATGCATATCCATAGTAAATATTTTCTAACATTTATCCTAAAATATCAATTTCAACAGAGTGGAATGAAAAGTTCTCTTTTATGAGTATCTTCTAAAATAATCATCACATAAACCAAACCATATCTGTTTTGTTGTGGACCAGCATTATATACTTGTGGATGACTCAGCTGAAACTGGCATCTATATTATCTGAGAAAGGAATGTCAGCAAATAAATTAATATAAAATCAGGTCAATATATTTGTTAGGAATACAGAGATGTCTTTCGTTTGAAACAGGCTATTTGTTAATCCATCTACTTTACTATGGATATGAAAAGAAATAACCCACAGGAACTGTGATTGAAAATCATATTTTCTTGTTGATTTTTGGGCAGTCCACCTCTTCAGAGATGTAGAATTCTGTGTAATTGCAAGTAAAACTGAGTGAAACATAACATCAGTTACTACAAAAATCCTTGCTTTTTTTATTTAACTTTTCTTCCAGTAGAGTTTTGGAATAAATACAATGAAGGCACATTTTGAAATATAAGCAGTTTTGAAGTAAGGAAACTACTTTCCTGGGGGGTAGGGGGGAAAAAGAAACCCCACGTTTATTTTAAATACACTTTGGATTGAAGAGGTCATTCAGCTGTAGCTAGTATATGAAATCTGTGTCTGTGTTTAATTTAGTTTATCTGGCATTTATAAAGTAATTGACATAGTTGTACAGCATCTAACTTTGGACTCAGAAAACACCAAGTCTACTTGAAATACTTAATTAAAGTCTATTTAAGAATGGGATTTTGTTATGGAATTTGATAGGAAGGAAAATATTCTAGTGTGTTCAGCCCCCTTTACCAATAAACATTTTGATTGCTAAAATTACTGAAATGCTTGTATCATGCGCTCTTCTTTACCGAGTCCTCGTGTGAAGTAATAATTATTCTGTTCGAAAGGAGGAAGAAAGGTAATAAACTTCTCTAAATATAGTCCTGACTTCTCTGTGTGGCATTTTCAAGATGTTTATTAAATGTCCTACTGCACTAAAGTCTTGAGAGTCCACAGCTTGTCATACACATACTCATGAGCTCATAATCCTTCAGCTACTTCTGTGGGCATAGAAGGAGGGTTATTAGTGTTTAATTATGTATAACATCAGTTTTAGAAGCCGAGCCGAAGTTATATTAAAAAGTGAACCAGAAAAAGCATTTTTGCACATTATGTGAATGGACGTACCTTATGAATCTATAAAGCAGATGGCTACGCTGCAATCAGATGAATCAAATATAGCCCTCACCAGCTGGTGATTAGACATGAAGCCCCAGTAAGAACTAATTCTTTTGGCTATCACAGACAGTTTTTGTTTAATATTAAAAACTTCTATTTAAGGCTGAACAAGTTACTTTTCAATTCACTATCCTTGTCAAGATAAAAATAAAGATCCTGTGTGTGAATTAAAATGAGGCACCTTTTGGGATATTTAAATCCTCCAAAAATAATCCAAGATTCTGACCACAGCTAAATTATTTAAAGACCTTGAAGACTGGATTTGCTTAAATTATTTTTAACTTCTTTTGTTGTGCTGATTGTGCCCCCTTGGAAATGATTTATGAACTTGTGCTGAATACTCAAACAGATTTAGCTGAAATACGTTTGAAAAAGAGTAGATACCTTTGAAAAGATTGATCATGGCATTTCAGTGTTTTCTAAAATAAATGTTTCAGCTTTTCATTCTGAAAGAATGTGTTTTGAAACCAAACAAAATTATAAAGATATTTAAAAGTTATTAAGTAACCCAAGAATAAAATTAATTACTTTATTGACTGAAAGTAGGATAAAAAATAGTGGGGTTTTCCCCTTTCATGCCAAGGGCAAGTCCTGCCTGACTAACCTACTGGCTTCCTATGATGGAGTGACTACATCAGTGGACAAGGGAAGAGCTACAGATGTCATCTATCTGGACTTCTGTAAGGCCTTTGACATGGTCCCCCACAATATCCTTCTCTCTAAATTGGAGAGGTATGGATTTGATGGGTGGACTGTTCAGTGGATGAGGAATTGGTTGGATGGTCACTTTCAGAGGGTAATGATCAACAACAGCTCAATGTCCAGATGGAGACCTGTGACAAGTGATGTCTCTCAGGGGTCCATGTTGTGACCAGTACTGTTTAATATCATCAGTGTCACAAACAGTGGGATCAAATGCACCCTCATCAAGTTTGCAGACAACACCAAACTGAGTGGTGGGATTGGCACACCTGAGGGATGGGATTCCAGCCAGAGGGACCTGGACAAGCTTGACAAGTGGGACCCTGTGAACTTCATGAGGTTCAACAAGGCCAAGTTCTGGGTCCTGCACCTGAGCCGGGGCAACCCCGGGTATCAATACAGGCTGGGGGATGAAAGAATTGAGAGCAGCCCTGCTGAGAGAGACTTGTGGGGACTGGTGGATGAAAAGCTGGACATGAGCCAGCAGTGTACACTTACAGCCCAGAAGGCCAACTGTATCCTGGGCTGCATCAAAAGAAGTGTGGCCAGCAGGTCAAGGGAGGTGATTCTGCCCCTCTGCTCCAGTGAGACCCCACTTGGAGTCCTGCGTCCAGCTCTGGAGCCCTCAGCACAGGAAGGACATGGAACTGTTGGAGTGAGTCCAGAGGAGGCCACAAAAATGATCAGAGAGATGGGACACCTCTCCTATGAGGACAGGCTGAGAGAGTTGGGGGTGTTCAGCCTGCAGAAGAGAAGGCTCCGGGGACACCTTATTGTGGCTTTCAGTACTTAAAGAGGACTTACAAGAAAGATGGGGACAAACATTTTAGCAGGGCCTGTTGTGATAGGACAAGGGGTAATGGTTTTAAACTAAGAGAGGGTAGATTTAGACTAGATATAAGAAAGAAATTTTTTACAATGAGGGTGGTGAAACACTGGAAGATGTTGCCCAGAGAGGTGGTAGATGCCCCATCCCTGGAAACATTCACGGTCAGGTTGGACAGGGCTCTGAGCAACCTGACTGAGTTGAAGATGTCCCTGCTCATTGCAGAGTGGGCTGGACTAGATGACCTTTAAAGGTCCCTTCCAATCCAAAGCATTCTATTAATTTCTTCAACTGGGTGAAAAAAAACCCCCACTATCAGAATTTCAATTTGGTGTCAACAAGAACTGATTTTTCCTCTAGTCTTGCTTTGGTTTGGCTGCCTGTATAAGTCCATTATTTACACAGTGTTACTCTTGAGTTGCTGAGCCTAATCACCAGCTCCTACAGGTGACCATGACATATGTTCATTGGAAACTCTCTTGTTTATGAACTCCACCTTCCAAATTGCTTAGGTTTTCTTCACTTCTTACTCCAGCTGAGTGTTTCTAATGTTTGATTAGAAATCTCATATTCAACCTTAGTTTTCATAGGTAGTTTATGATCATACAGTTTGTACAACATGTGATAGCACTGATTTTTGGCTCAATACCCCTTCTTCACAATTATCCCATTCATACTTAAAAAAAGCCCCAACCTGTATCCACTTTCAGCTATTGCTTTGCTGGGCCAAACAGGCCAAGCTCTTTCAGTTTCATCTTGTGGTGAATACACTTCATGACTTGATCGTTCAATTGGGCCGCCTTTGCTCTTGCTTCAGATTAATTTCTCTGTCTTGAACAGTGGCCAAAACTGTACATGGTATACAGGATGTAGTTTCCAGACAGTGCTGCTAATATCCCCCTGTCTACACTGGAAATACTTCATCTATTAAAACTCAAGGTCATATTTAACATTTTTTCCACAGCAATCTGACACTGATGGTTTTTAGCCATTCTTGACCCACCCATACACCTCTTTTTTCTCCTCTGCTATTTCAGTTGAAGAGCCTCAGCTTAAAGCCAAAATTATTAATAGGATATAGTCTTTTAGGGCTCTTATCTAGCTCCTGCTCTGTGGTTAGATATTTCTGAATTGGCATTGACATGTTTCCTCTCTTTGGGAAATTGTAAAAGAAACTGTAAAAGAAATATCTGGATTTAGTCTCCTTTCGTCTTTCTAATTCCAGCAAACTTTCATATATTCCCCTCTTCCTTTATTTTCTTCATACATATCCCTCACAGATATGTTTCTTATATTTCAAAATACTGAAAACTTTTGCTTCAGCTCAGGCTCCCCCCCTTCCTCCCTTTTCAGAGAGAGGTAAATCTTCACCATTCCCTCAACATGACTGGCATTATTAAATGTCTGTATGCAACCATACATTCCTTTCAGGTGCCGCTTCTCTCAGTGTTTTGTAAAGGTAACAAAAAGGTACCAGCTCCACCATGACAAGGGTGTCAAGCTTTGCAATTTCTTCCATGTCAGATGTGGTAGTTTCTGAATATATCTATCATTTCCTATTAGTGATGCTATATTTCAACTTCTGTTCTTCAGCAAAAAATTTATTTGGAAAACAAGTCAAATACTAATTTCAGTTTTAGGTCATGTTAAATTGTTTGATATTTTGCTCCTTATCTAACGCCTTGTAAATCCTCTTTGTCATCCCAGTTTTGTTTGAGCCTGTGTTCATACCAAGTAGTTCTGCAATGGTACCACAAAGTCCTTCATATCATGTAGGATGCAAACTCTAAAAGTTTTTCATCTTTAGCTTAAACAAATTCCATGTCCCTGATCCATGTTCTCATCACTTTCAAGTCAATTCTCAGTTCAGAACAGATCTTCTCACTCATTCCATTCTTACATTTTTGACTTCTGTCAGAAAACGCTTTCAAGACTTCCAAATTACACGTTTCAATTATAGTGCCTTAATGTACTCCTTCACCAGCTGTGTGATGTGGAGCAAAAATCTTGAGCCCAGTTCAGGTACCTTAATGGGAAAATACTGCTCTTTTTTCTGGTTATTTCTTAATGTCTATGTACAATATACGTGTAATTGATGTTTACCTGAATTGTTGATGTTGAGGCTGGATAATTTTTCGGTTTAATTTGCGCAAGAGCGAATGCCACTGGCGGGCAGTACTCCAGATGTGAGCAGCTTGGACTGAGCAGTATGGCTGCTCTGACAGGGATGGGGGGCAGAGCAGGGACATGGTTTCTCAGCTCCATATCTTAGCTGGCAGCGTTTGCTGTGGGAGCTCATCCACTCCTTAGCAAAGACTTGAGTCCAGAACTCAGGAGATCTCACTCTCTTACATCATGTAGGTGACTAAAGCCAAGTTGCATTTAATCTTTTAATGGAAATACCTCCATTTAAAATTTAAGGCACTTCTTCTTTCTTCACCATTCCTTCTGCTATGTGTAGATTTTTAAAAAATGATGAATAAATTTCGCATATTGGTTATTTTGGGAGTAAAATGACTAAAATTAAAGACACTAGACAGATGCAACATTACTCAGTAGCTGAAGTCATAAATGTTATGCCAGGCTCCTGAAAGTAGTGCCTCACAGAAATATCTCTAAGTACAGTGTCCCTGTAAGTGTTAAACTGTGGGCACACAACCACTTCCATGGAAGAGGCTAAATAGCCCCTATATCTGTATGTTTACATCTGTTACATATAAATATTCCTATGTATTCTGTGGGCATAGCAAAATCAATCCAGGTTCAGTAATTAGTTTCCGTAGTAGTTTGATTAGTGCATAATAGAAAAGGGATAAAAATAGATATTTTGCAATTATGAAGGTAAGACACCACCTGAGTTCCCCCTTCTGTTTAAAATCCGTTTAGTTTTGCTTACCTCTTACAGACCAGTGTAGTGAGGATAGGTAATACCACTGCAGCATGTAATGTTCACACCCCAACAAGGAGAATGCATTCCCTCAGCCTTCCTGACAGGAGCTTTGATTTTGGGACCGGAGAGAGGGAATCATTGCTGACCTCTCCTGAGTTACAGAGAAGTGATCAAAGGCTTTTATGAAGATCAAATGTGAGCATAGACAGATGAAAATCAGATTTCTTCTTTCTCACTACCCTTTTCCCTGCCTGAAGAGGTAAGGTTCGAGGGTTTTATTTTGCTAAGCGTGTTTCTCTTGAGAGGGCTGCTCCCCTCAGCAGGGACAGTGCTTCTGTTCACCTTCATGGGGGCAATGAGGAAGGCAGCTGTGCAGACCCATAGAAAGCCTTTCTGATGTCTTCCTGCCCAGCATCCCATGCTATAGAGCCCAGCCTGCTGCATGCCCCTGAGCTAGACCTCCCTCTTGGTCCTCTTCTGGAGCACCACATCGCAGCTTCACCTAGACCTGCGTGTAGCCTGTTCTCATTTGGGACAACCCTTCTCATCTACTTTTGCTGTGACCCTTCTGACAGACCCAAATCATGGTCCAGGGTGTCATAGGGTGTGTCTACATTAACATTTTAGTTCAGATCTTTTGAAGTGAACGTCCTGGTTTTCCCCACTGGCTGTTGTTTGGTTTGCACCACGAACAGTGTTGTAGCACCTTAAATGGTTTTCTCTGGAGTGAAAGAAACTGAAAAGACGTGTCCCAGGTGCTTGCATCTAGGTACTCCAGCCACTGAGAGCTGGCATTCAGTCCCCACTACCAAGCTTGATTCAGGCTGCGATAAAACCCCCAAATTCCCATGCTTTAAATACCAGGTCCTCAACACCAGCTGTTCTGCTATTGCACCACTTCATTTGCCCATGGTGCATGCCAACACAGCTGTGACTTAGCAGGTGTATCTGGTAAGGAAGCTGAGGAAATGTGGTGTCAGTGTGTGTCGGAGAGAAATAGCCCCTTTCTTCATGTTCCTTAAATGAGTAATGGCAGAAAACAGAGGTCCTCATTGCACATCTCTGTGAACGGTTATAAAATGAACAGTTCTGTGAATGGCATGGTCTGTTGCTGAGCAGGGGTGGGGCAAGATAAATTAATGAAATTGTGAATTAAACCATACTCCGTCCTGTTTCTATTCACATCTTTTACAGGATTTATTTCAATTTTTTTATATATATATCATGTCAGATTTATTGCTCCAGAAAGGAGTTCATTTGTTTTCCCAAAGGGGTTATAAACTACCTGTGTATCAAGTTAGTTATTGAAGGTATGAATTTAGTCAAAAGCATCTCTGAAGGGTAGCTTAAAAGAAAGGAATGTAAGTAGTTTGCAATAATGCAAAGCTCTCTCTCAAGACAGATACAGTATTGACACTAATACAATTTTAATTTCTTAGGAAGGAGAAATTACTTTAAGATACAAACACTAAATTCATCATAAATACATGCTATATATGAAAATCTGAGCTGGTGGAATCACCTCCATTTTGTCAAGCATTGTACTATTTTGGGGTATTGTATTGGTTGGATATATTAAACTACTATTCTTGCATTGCTAGTTTCCTAATTGGTAGTTACTTACACATACTGACACAATGATAGTTACCTTGGTTTGTTGCTGAAAGATCATTG